TTCAGAATTCAGAATTCAGAATTCAGAATTCAGAATTCAGAATTCAGTATAAATTAAATTGTAAGAAATTACACTTGGCTTTAGTAAAAAATAACCTTAGTCTCAACCAATAAATCGGTGGATTTAGTGAGTTTAAGTTCATCGCAAAGATTGTGGACCATGTCTTTGCTGAGCCGGTATTTTTTCATTAATTGTTGTGTATCCATTTCAAACGGATCACTTCGATCTCACAGTTGTCTTCTTTAGACTTTTTCCATATTATTGTCATGTGAAGCATTACTTTAGAAACAATCAAACGTTTCGTATTCATCACACATGATGAAACGATTGCCTAAAAATATAAAAACTCAAAATTATAATAATTGTTATACAATTATGCACAAAACAATTCAATAAAAGCTACACCAACACGTTGTAAACTGAATGGTTTATTGCTGTTACTTTTTGACACATGAACTGTGAACAAAATGTCAAAATAATGTTTGTAATACGATGTTGCCAGCCAAACTTCGGCAGAAGATAGCCTAGTGTCACGTGACCGCTGACTGGCATTACTAGTTCATAATACGAAATTACAAGGCAGTTTACTTTGCGGCGTAAACTACACGGAAATAAGAGTTCATATTAGGACCCCAGGGAAGTACTGCATTACCGATTTCTGCCGCCAAGCCCTAATGTGAGTATTACTGCATTCCGGTTTTGAAGGGTAAAGGTTTGTTTTAGTGCTTAGAATTAAGACATTGCACCGACTGTTTGCTGCAACCAATTTTATAATGATACATTTGCGATCTTGTAAGTTGAACTAAATAATCTTTATTCAAAAAGTTCGTGTTTTGTCACTAGTAAACCATGATGATATTAGGTAATTGCCGCCAAGCAGTATTGTGAGCTTTTCTGCGTTCCAGTTTTGAAGGGTAACCGCTCACGCGATGCGCTCCTCCTACTGGCGGTTATTTGGTTTCGCAAAATAGAAAAGGATTCAGTTTAAATACAAGTTTTTATAAATAAAAATTATTATTCTGCATTGCTAAATAAATACCCTCCGTACTACCAACAAAAACATCTCAAATAAAATGCAGTAATACACTGCAAATCCTGCACTTAAAAAGCACTAATGAAATTTTTGGTGTACTTGGATAAATATGATAATATTCCGTTTGAGTGGTTCTAACGTTTACCATGAAATTACTCCTTAAAGTATAGTTTATAAACAATTATATTCAGGGTAAACTTAAAAAACGCTACTTGCGGTATGTTTTCAATAAATAAACACCGAAATCGCCTGCCCAAACAATAACACACACGATTGTCGTGACGTATTTTTGAAGTTGTTTATTTTTTTTAAATGACAGACCCAGGCATTAAAAACTTTATGGTTTGCTAGAGTTGTTACCGAAATAGCAATTAATATTAGTTCTTTTACCTGTTATAACTTCGATATCCGATAAATCGGTATAAAATCATCACCGGCACCTCTAGTTGTGGCATGAGTCTACGGCTGCATGTATCGCATGAGCGGTTATGGCTAGGTTAGGTTAGCTGCTGGTGAAA